TAGTTTTATCCAGGGGCGTCATTTCAGGTTTTTTTTTCGGGTGTGCAAAGTTTCAAGCAGGCCATTTTGAAATATCACCAGGCCATATAAAAATAGATATACATACGTATATGTATATTATCCTGCATTCAATATTTCCATACATTATAGACCGGTTATYACTATTTGATTTTAATCATATAAATAATTGTGCATTTGTGGCTCGTGCATTATTTTAGGCTTCAGCAAGGCGCAGGCCAATTGTAACATTCTAAAAGTAAGGGGTGCAACCGCACACCCTGCCACCCCCCAAATGACGCCCCTGGTTTTATCATTATACTTATACGTTATACACCATATATTCTTGTAACACAAAAAAATATTATTCATATAATATGAATGCTTTTATTTTTTTGACATTATTATCATTATAATTTATAATATATTGTTAAGTATACCAATACTTTTATTTTTAACATTATTACCTATCATTATATACTAGGTATATTATGTCTATATGGTATTCTTATAACACAAAACAATATTAAGAATACTTTATATAGGTACTAGAAAATCCGTAATATTGTGATATTTATATACTATAATAGTATATACACTATAYAGACATATAGTATATAATATATACATTACATTATTGTAYGGCCGAAATTCGTACGTAGGTACCTCTCATAAGCCAGGGTCGCAACTCGTGCGTTATTTAGGGGTTGGGCCACAGCCCACAACTYACCAACACTGGAAAATCATATTATTGAGAGAATGACATAATACTATTACCTATCTATTTTTCTAAATAATGTATATAAACAATTTTAAATCGATTTTAATTTACCAATTGTATTCTAATGTTTAAAGTTGAATATAATAAAGTCTGATAATAATAACATATTAAACTGATATGTMTAACCATTAAAATTATTATTCTATATGATTTTTGTAATAGGTGATTTCGCTTTAAGATAACTCATAAATCATAAAAATTAGTTTTAAATGACTGCGCTGTATCGATGTTGCACACAAAAGAAAACAAATATTGCGCTGACAGTTATCCTTTTAAAATATAATCKTGAGATTCCTTTATCCACCAATAACCACTATATTTATATTAATGTCAAATCAATATTTATAATACGGACTAGAGCCTGAAAATCACGATTGCATACTGATATTGATTTCACTGCCTCACTGGTCAGCCAACTGTATTATTATGGTAATATGGTCAACACTTAATCGATATAAATAGTTTGTGTTCCCCGTTAGATCCAAGTATGTATATCCTTCTACCAGTCCTACCAGTGCCGTAGCTAGGATTTCTAAAGACAGGAGGTAATAAATAACTATGAAATAAAATTTAAATTGTTTTACTATGTCTCTGAATTAGTGAAAACACATTATAAACGTTTCAATTATAGCCGCCTAGCCCACTATATAAATCCCTTAATCTCTGACCAATCATCTGTTTCTATCCCAGG